CTACAATACAGGGCATTCAGGGCAATATCTGAACACAGCAAGTCACAAGGAACATCTGCGGGTGGCAGAAACCACGCTGTTGCTTGCCCATGCCAAGTCAGTTTCCTGTGAAATTAACTGATTATCCTTCATAAAAGCACCTGTTTCGTGGCCAAAGCAAAGGGGCAAAACTCAGGTGGGTTTCTATGACAACCCAGAGACAAAACAAACAAGCAAGAAAAGATACCCAATCAACTGCAAAGAAACCCAGGTGAGTAAAGACACGAGTCAGCCTCCAAGCACACATTTCTCAGTGAGTATGTTAGCTGGGTTTGGGGAGCGGCAGGCACAGCTGACTGGCAGCTTAGAGAAGGTTCCCAGGCCTACACTTTATAAAAGCATGTACTCTTCCTGGGTGGTGGTGACTCCTTTAATCCCAGCACTTGGGAGGCAGAGGTAGGCAGATCTCTGTGAGTTTGAGGCCAACCTGGGCTATAGAGAGAGTTTCAGGACAGTCAGGGCTACACAGTGAGACCCTGTCTTAATAAATAAATAAATAAATAAATAAATAAATAAATAAATAATAGTTTGAGCTTTCAACTTAGCTGAAAAAAAGACATTTTAATGAGATTAGCATTTGTAGGCCAGGAAATTAGCCAATTCTTGAAATATTCTTATAACCTGGGGCTTTAACCAGAAAATACTGGAACTTCTGTTTGGTTAGTTGTTTTACCAGTCAGGATTTCCTTGTGTAGCTCCGACTGTGCTAGGATTCACTCTGTTGCTATGCGAGAATGCTCTTGTACCCTGCAAAGATTTGCCACTCATATTGGTTTAATAAAATGCTGATTGGCTAGGAAGTATAGGCGGGGTGACCAGACTAGAAGAATTCTGAGAAGAGAAAAGTCTCAGTCTGCAGTCACCACCCAGATGCAGAGGAAGCAAGATGAAAATGCTGCACTGAGAAAAGGTACCAAGCCACGTGACAAAACGTAGATAAGAATTATGGGTTAATTTAAGTTGTAAGGGCTAGTTAATAATAAGCCTGAGCTAATAGGCCAGATAGTTTATAATTAATATAAGTCTCTGTGTGTTTCTTTCAGACTGAACAGCTGCAGGACCAGGCAGGACAGAAACTTCCATCTACACTCTATAGACCTGGTTAGCCTTAAATTCGCAGAGATCTGCCTGTCTCTGGCTCTTAGGGGCTAGGGTTAAAGTTGTATGCTACCACCACCCAGCTTGGAACTTCAGTTTTAAAGGAAGGACTTCTATAAAATAAATATTACACGAGCATTGTATTTACAAGTATCAAAAAATGAAAATTAAGGATTATTCTTCCATTGAGAGAAAGACAAGAAACTGAAACCTTTTTGGAGACAGACAAGATCATTAAGTGAATTAAAATAGAAGTTGGTCAACATAAAATAATTTCTGGTCAACCTGTTAGAGTCATTTGGGAAAAGGGAACCTTAACCAGGAAGATGCCCAACAGGTTGGACTGTGGGAACATTTTCTCGACTAATGATTGACGTGAGAGGTCCCAGCCCAATGTGAGTAGTGCTGCTCCTGGGAAGGAGGTTCTGGGTTGTATGAAAAAGCAGACTGAACATCCTGTCTCTCCACCCAGCCAGATCCTGTACATTTCTCCAAGGTCTAGTGAAGTGAGTCTGCCTGACCCTTCTGAACACTCCGGATCCAGCCCAGGTCCCAGAATCAGTGCCCTAGCTTAGTCTGGCCACATCTGCTTGCACTACAACCAATCTCTAGACCAGGGCCTCACCACACCATATTCAATCTCTCCACTCAGACATATCTACCCCACACTCTAGGTTTGGACCAAGATGCTCATCCTCCACACTAGCCCAATCCCCACCTGGTTTAATTCCACCTAAGCCTTTTCTAACCTCTAAGTCCAATCAGATCACACATCGTCTGTCCTAACCTGTTCTGTCCACATCAGATAGAGAACTCACAAAAGAAGTCCACATGCCCAGATCTCATTTATAAAAAAAAAAAATCTACAAACAACATGAAAGATCAAGTCAGTATCTCCTCTACAACCTAACAGTCCTGCAGAAATATCTACCAGTGAGAATTACTTAGGTGAAACTCAGAAGGCAGAATTAGAAAGAACAATCATAAATGTCAAAGAATTCAAAGAGTTTAAAGATGACAGTAAGAGACAGCTCAATGAAATTAAAACTTAAGGAGACTAAATGCCTGAGTGATGCCCAAGAAAACACAAACAAGGCAGATGGAAATGAAGATACTCCAGGGCTTGAGAACGAATGTACTGAAGGGACAGAACACTGAAGAGGACTCAAGCCGAAATGAAGATGAAATTGAGAAACCCATTAACTCAACTAGAAAACTCAAAGGGAAGCTCTACAAGCAGAAGAAAAGTAGAATGTCTAAACCAAATAAAAATTAAAACACAGGAAAAGGGCATACAGGAAATACGGGGCATCACATATAAACCAAACCTTCAAATCATAGAATATGTATCTTCCCTAAACAAAGGAAAGATATACTCATACAGGTGTAAAACACCAAATAGACAAGACCAGAAAGAAAATATCCATGGTCCAAGTATGGAGAACAAAAAAACATGTATGGAAAACTAGAAGAAGAGAGACACAAGTCACATATAATAGAAAATCCACCAGCTGGTTTCTCAGTAGACACTCTGAGAGGCAGACAAGCCTGGAGCAGTGTATTCCAGGTTCTAAAAGACTATTACAGCCAGCCTAGCCTAGCACACCCAGAAAACCATCACCAGAGTTGAAGGAGAAAGAAAAACTTCCCAGGATATAAATAGCCTAGAAAGGGGTATATCCCACAAACCAAACCTAAAACATATACAGGAAGCAGTATTTCAGGCTGAAGAAAGAAAGCAAATCCAAGAGACTGTGTGTGGAAAGAAATGTGAAGCCATAATTACCACCATCGAGAACACAAACACCACCACCCAAAATCAACAACACAATCACTTCGATTAATATGCACATTTCAATAAAAACATTAAATATTAATGGCCTCAATTCTCTAATCGAAAGAAATAGGCTGTCTTAGTTATTGTTCTGTTGCTATGAAAAGACATGATGACCAAGACGACCCACAATGGAAGCATTGAACTGGGGGCTCACTTACACTTCCAGAGGGTTAGTCCCTGACATTATAACAGGAAGCATGGAGGCAGGAAGTTAAGCAGGGCACTGAAGAAAAAGCTAGGAACTTACATTCCAATCTGCAGACAGAGGCTGAAACAGGACAAGACTGGCCTAGCATGGGCTTTTGACACGTCAAAGCCCACCCCCAGTGACACACCTCCTCCAACAAGGCCACACCTCCTAATCCTTCCTACACAGTTCCACCAACTGGGAATCAAACATTCAAATACATGAGTGGATAGGGGCTGTTCTCATTCAAAACACCATACCGACCGACTGAATGAATCAAAAAACAAAATCTGTTGTCTACATGCAATATGCGACTGGGCCAAAGAAGAAGTAAAAACTATTCCTGGAATGAGAGTAAAATGAAAACAGCACACAATAAAATCTCTGGGATATAATGAAAACAGTCCATCACCAGGATGCAGATTGGGGTTGGGGAAGCAATGGAGAAAGGAACAGCAGGGTGCTGTGACGTGAAAGGGTTAATGGGAAAGGCAGGGCGGGGGGCCTAACTAGGGAGGGGTGAGGAAACTCTAAATATGTCTGGAAAAGTTATAAGGAATCATATTGTTAGCTATTTACCTAAAAATATCTATAGAACATTTAAATTCGTGTATAAATATGCATAACAGTATAATGAAATTTTTCTATCTGAACTAACAATGCCCCCCTCTCCAAGAGCCAAGGACTCTCCACCGAAACCAGGGACAAGAAGCCCTCTTTTGAGTCATTGGTAGGGGTTGTTTATGAGACTCCCAACATATTACAGGCTATTGCTCTTGCCTTTGACTGTACCCCAGAGATGAAAATGAAATCGCTCTTGCTGAGGACATCATGTATTTCAGAAACAGGGACCAGAGGCCCCTGAGCTGAAACTGATCTGAACGCCTCCTCTCTGAGGACCAGCTTTCATGATTCCAGAAGATGCTAGGTAAGCTTCCAAAGAAGGGAAGCCACCAACAAGCCCACCTGACTAAGATGTCTAAGAACCACAGCAACAGCCACCATGGCATGATTACTCCATGGGTGCAGAAGGGGTGGACATACCTTGTCAGTATCCAACAGCTGTCTAATTGGATTTAAGGTCCACTCAAGAAAAGAGAAATCAAGTCTTGTCCTTTCAACTACCTAGGGCTAGAGAAATCATGGATCTTGGAGCAGAGCCTACTGTTCAGGGCTGGGGCTGATCCAGGGCTTTCCCTGCGATCCTGATGTTGAAGAAGAAACACAGCTCCTTCTCTAAAACCAGGAAGACACTCGGTAGAGATGGTAATGGTCTGGAGCCAGAGCCTTGAGGGAGCTTCGGCTTCAGATCCTGAGAACCTAACTCTGCCCACAGTATGGGGCTGTGGTTATCAGTCCCAAGGCCTCTGCGTAATTCTCTTGAGATATCCTGTGTTCCCCTTGTGTGACATTGTCTGATAAGCTTCCTGCTGACTTCATCCCATTTCTTACCCCTAAAAACAGTATATAAGATGCTACACTGATGAATGAGCTTGCTTGGCAGAAGACATAGCTTATGCAAGACGTCCTGATGCCAAACTTTCCTACATTCTTCTTCATCATCTCATCTCCTGGCCACCCCCCACTTGAGACCCTGTCACTGGAGAACAACCTGCTGGTCCAGGTCAACCCGCAACTACCACGGTAATAAACCAGCATAATTCCTGACTATAGTCTTAATATTCCATCTTCTACACCAGATAAGTATAGCCTTCACCTCTCATCAAGGAGAGTGCTCTTTGTAACAGATGGGGATCAATACAAAAGACCACAACCAATCAAAACACAGATGCTATCTCCAATTTGTCCCTAGAAAGTCAGAAACAAGTGTGTACTCACCCGCTCCTGGCCGGCAGTGTCCCAGATGAGGAATTTGTGAAGTTCATGTCCACAAGGCACAGTTTTGGTCATAAAAGATGCCCTGAAAAGAGAGTCAACCCCCTGCATTATCAAACCTCCACAGAAACTCATGAACCCACTCTCATGTTAAGCCTCAAGAAGACCCCAAGAACTCTGGTCCCCTAGGAAGTAGTAATGAGAGTTGTACCACTGTAAATAAGACAGCCTGCATTTTATGTAATCCAGCTGGACTTCCAAACCAAAAAGAATGTGTGGGCTGGAAGAATGGCTCAAAGAGCCTAAGTTTGGTTCCCAGAACTTACATGGCAGCTCACAGCTGTCTGTAATCCCAGTGCTAGGGGATCCAATACCTTCTGGATTCCTCAGATACTGCACACATGTGGTATGCATACACATATGCAGACAAAAATACATATACCCATAAAATAAGCATAAAATCTTTAAAAGAAAATGCCTGCAGAAACAGATTCAACTGTCTTAGAATAATATTCTCTTGATGCCAGAGAGATATTAAATATCTAACCTTAGATATTAAAGTCATATTCTTATAACAAATGTGAGGGGAAAATGGTAAGGGGAAAATGATCTTATTTTATGACTTTAAAACCTTGGCATCAAAACAGCATAATCAGAAAGTTGTCCTAACATATTCCCTGTGCTGACATGAATTCAATACTAGCAGCAAGTACAGAAAAATATAGCCAAATCTCAACCTGTCTGAATAAACGTAGGGATTATCTTGGCTAAAGTTCCTATTGCTATGATAAAACACCATGACAGGGGGCCGGAGAGTTGACTCAGAGGTTAAGAGCACTGGCTGTTCATCCAGTTGTCCTGAGTTCAATTCCCAGAAACCACATGGTGGCTCACAACCATCTATGATGAAACCTGGTGCCCTCTTCTGCTGTGCAGGCACACATGCAGGCAGCGTACTGTATACATAATAAATAAATAATTTAAAAAAAAAATAAAACACCATGACCAAAGAAACTTGGGGGAAAATGGGTTTATTTGGCTTAAACTTCCGTATCACAGTTTATTGTTGAAGAAAGTCAGGACAGGAACTCGAACAGGACAGGAACCTGGAGGCAGGAGCTGAAGCAGAGGCCTTGGAAGGGCAATGCTTACTGGCTTGTTCCCCATGGCTTACTCAGTCTGCTTTCTTACAGAACCCAGGACCACAAGTCCAGGAATGGTACTCCCCACAATGGGTTTGGCCTGCCACTATCAATCACTAATTAAGAAAATGCCCTACAGGCTTACCTACAGTCCACTCTTATGGAGGCATTTTCTCAATTGAGGTTCCCTCCTCTGAGATGACTGTAGCCTGTGTCAAGCTGACATGAAACTATCCAGCACGGGGGTAGATGACACAGGCGTGTGCATGGGTCCATTGAAAACAAAGTACTTTAAGGTGCCAGTAAATCATCAAACACTTGTCATTCTTTTTTATAACCTCTTTCCTCTGAACAAGCATTTTCCTTGATGGAGGAAGTGTGTCACTGTGGGGGTATGGCTTTGAGGCCTCCTATACTAAAGTTCAATGTGATCCTTAGTTCACTTCCTGTTGCCTTTGGATCAAGATGTAGAACTCTCAGCTCTTTCTCCAGTACCGTGTCTGCTTGCATACTGCCACGTCCCACCATGGTGATAATGGACTGAACCTCTGAAACTAAGCCACTTTATTAAACATTTTCCTTTATAAGAGTAGCTGTGGGTCATAGTGTCTCTTCACAGCAATAGAAACTCTAATGCAGAAGTTTAGTCTGGATGTCATCATAAGGTAGCAAGCAGGTAAGTGTAAGATGAGGGTCATTCCATAAGTCAGCTGCTGTGGGTGCTTTAAATATCATAAAAAATAAATAAATAAAAGGCCAGAAGATTTTTCCAGAATCTAAACTAAAGGAAAGGAGATAACAGCTGAATAGGAGCCTTGACTATATCCCAGATTCTGGGAAAGAGCTTTGAAGACTGTTTTAAGCATATTTAGAGGAGCTGGGATTGTGGCTCACGTATATAAGACTTAGCATGACTATTCTCTGGCATGAACGAGGCCTTGTGCTCAGTTCTCAGTACTGCAAAAATGGAAATTAAAACAAATGGCAATTAGTCACATCGGGAATTGGACTATATGTGAGGTTCCATCACTGAATCAAGGTAACTTTTGAGGTATCACAGCAATGGTCTTCTTCTTGGATGACACGGTCTACAGTTTGGGAGGGTGCAGCTCGGGGCGTCTTGCCCAGTCTATGACCTAGCAGGAGTTCCACAGGAGTTCCACAGTGTGCTCGGGCCTCTTCAGAGCACTATTTCTTCTGCCTCCGGTTCTCCTAAGAGGCTGAATGCAGAAACCTCATTGAGTCCCTGCAATTCCGCACCCACCGCCAACATCCATGCTCATACCAGAGGTTAACATGTGACACTTAGTGACCAAGTCATGAAGTGAAGGGAAAGTTTAGGGTCCTGTGTGGCACAATCCAGTATTATCTATTCATTTCCCTTTAGAGGACTTAAACAAGACCTTCCAGACGACCGACAAGAGCAAATAGACTTAAAAGAGGATCTTATTCTTTTCCACTAAGCAATGTGTATACCTCACACATGCAACAAAAAAAAAATAAATAAAAAGGAAATTCAAGACATGAAAATTAAGAAGGAAATAAATATCAGCTCCTAGTTCAGCACCTAGCCATGGCCACCACTAATAACTCAACTGCTTTTATACAAACTCTTCGTTGGAAAATGGATAATGCTCTATCTAGGGCTAGGTTTCCCACTTTATACTCCATGAACCTTTCCATTTCGATGAACAACAATCAATCTCACTGTCTAAAATGACAATATTGCACACCGTGTTATAAGTCTTTTCAGTGTTCTGTGGCATATGCTGTGTCCTTGTATAACTGTTTCCATAGACTTAATTCTTTTCCATTTTCTCTTTATTTATTTATTTGTGGGATGATGGCTGGGGTTGAGGACGGGGTTTCAACTGTAATCACTAACCACCTGCTCTACCACTGAGCTATGCTTCCCTGCCTCCTTAGTCTTATTTCTTTTAATTTTTATTTTTATTTATTTTTGTTTGAGACAGTCTTACTATATAACCCAGGACAGCTTTGAACTTCCTACGTGGCCAAGGCTGGGCTTAAATTCATAATCCTCCTGCCTCAACCTCTTGAATGCTTGGATCACAGGTATGTGCCGCCACGTGCAGCCTTAGACACAATTACTAAAAAGCATGCTCCACTTTGGATGCATGTACCAAGCTCAGGTTACACCAACGTACACATGTATAATGACGGGATGGTCTGCTCCCCAACCATTTCCCATCTTTCAAATTTTCCATCACCACATTAGAAAATGGCATCTCCTCTTTATTCTCATTATACTCTCCTGGTCAGATAGCTCACCCAATTTCAAACACTCTGCCTAGACGGAGAAGGGAGGCTCATAAGAAGGAAACACAGAAGTAAACAAAACTCAGAAGACCCAACATGCTCCTAAAGCTTACAAGATTCTCGGGGCAGGTTGGGAAATATGGGTCAGGCAGATCACAGGTGTGTGCCACCAAGCCTGAAAACCTGAGTTTGAGCCCCAGGACCTACAGGATGGAAGGAGAAAACCAACTCCCTCAAGCTGTGCTGGCCTCTACATGCACTCTATGACATGCTTGCAAGCATCACCCTCCCACAGTAAATACTCTTTCATAATATAATAAAACAAGATGCACAAGGCAACAACTGCATGGGTGCAGGCTGTGCGGGACGCTCTAGGGATGCAGCTTGCCTGCCTGGACAGAGCCTGTGGTGGAGCTGCCTTTGACTCAGCCACGTTTCACTACCCACGTGACTACCAGCATGAGTCACTGAGCTGACGTGGGCTTATGCTCCTGATGCAGAAATGATGTCTTCTTGCAAATGTGATTCCAGCAGGAAGAACAGAGCAGGCTTTGAGAGCAGAGTGACTCTGTTTGTCTGTCCGGTTGGTATTGGTGGTGCTGGGATCAAACCCACGTCACACAAGCCCTACTGTTCTGAAGCCACACCTCCAGTTCTGCCTGGGTCAGTCTGAGTCAGGTCTGTATCTCTGTGACCTCCTATGTGCTCTGACCCATGAAAACCATCACAATTAACCCTTGGGTCTGGGACATGAACTGAACTGTCCACAGGATCAGTCAGGTATCACAATCCAGCAGGGTAGATAAGGCAAAACAACTATACCGACAAAAATAACAGTAATAATAAGTCTAGGAAATCCCCGTACCATGTGCCTGGCTCTGGGTGGCCAGGCAGGCAGCCGTACCCCCCCACACACCCATTCCACATTCATGGCTCTCTCAAGAGAAGCACAAAGTCTTCAAAATTGGCCATGGTGAAGAAACACCTAATGGAATAGTGAAATACACATGGGTGTGTCTGTGAGGGCATTTCCAGGAACTGCTAGATCATAAGGACTCTGACTTGATTAGTCCTTTGAAGAGCTAATAATATAATAGCATTAATGAAAAGTAAGAAGTGGGGTCTAGGTAGAGGAAGTTGGTCACTAAGAGCAAGTCCTTAGATGCTGTATCTTGCCCTAGCCTCTTCTTGTATGCTTTCTTTCTGCTTCTTGGCCACCACAACCTGAACACAGCTCAACTTCACTGTCTGCTTCTGCTGCCATGATGTTCTGTTCATCTGAAGGCAAGCAGCCATGTACGGAACCCTCTGCAACCGTAAGCTAAGATAGTTTCTCCTCCTTTAAACTGTCTCTTCAGCTATTTTTTTTTTTACTACAGAAAGGACAGTAACATATATTGGCTTAAAATTTTGAAAGTGCCATAAAGGCTAAACAAGACGAACCCTCAGGCCAGAATTGTGGCTCACCGAGTTAACACGCTTTGGGGTAGCTAAGCTATCAAGCTTTTGGTACTTAGAAATTCCATTTCCATGGGGGCTGGAGAGATGGCTCCGTGATTAAGAGCATTGGCTGCTCTTCCAGAGGTCCTGAGTTCAATTCCAGCAACCACATTGTGGCTCACAACCATCTGTAATGAGATCTGGCGCCCTCCTCTGGTATGCGAGCATACATGGAGGCAGAATGTTGTATATATAATAAGTAAATCTGTTTTAAAAAAAAAAAAAAGAAAATTCTATTTCCACCAACCTCCAGTAAGTCCACATTTTACTTAGGAAGTGTTCTTGATAGCCTTCTTTTTCTCTGAGATTGAAACTTAGAAACACCTTCTCAAAGCTCCAAAAGAGAAAATTATGAGTGCAAGTTAACTACATCAGAAAAAGCCTTAGACGTTCTTAGACACACAGGAGAGCTGAGTCTTCCTGACGCCAGAAGACAGTGAAGAGCAAAGTAGGCAGGAAGTAGAGCAGCTCCCATAAGGCACTGCAGCTCCCAGAAGGCATCCCAACCATCAGAAACAATGTTGTCACTGCAAACTTAAGGGAGGTTGCTCAGCATTATATCATTCCAGAAAGAAAAACCTAATTCCACATATACTTTGGATTTCCTCAATCTACAGTGATCAGCTTTTCTGGGGATTAAAGACAGGCAATCTAGCCACACATCAGAAGCTGTCAACGTACACCATCTCCCATCCGGAGATAAAGGCAACCTGCTCTTCAGAGCCATGGTCTTGACAGTCAAGAAAAATGGTCTTGTCTTTCAAGAGGAAGAAGATTGACAAGAAAAAAAAATTTATACAAGAATAGCCCTAAATTTCTGGAGTTGAGATCAATTCTCATTGGTGGAGTTGGAAATATTTGCCCAAAAAAAAGTGATGTCAATAAAGAAACACACTGTCACTTACCCAATGGTGGGGCTGATGTTGTGGTCAAAGTGGTCCTGGACAAACCGACACACGATGCTTGATTTTCCGACCCCCGTGTCCTAGAATAGAATGAAAGCATAACCATGAACATCCAACAACACGTGACAAGAGGGCATGGTGACAGAACTGCAGGACCAGAAGAGAGTGTCTGCTGTTTCCTACTAGAACATTCTATAGTGCCAAGAAAGAACACAGGCATGGTAAAAAGCAAGTCTAGAAACACATCCCACATACATGCAGCAGTTAGCATGTTCCTAATACATATGATTCCACAGTTGGAGAATGGAGGAGGGGTATAGAGAAGATGTGTGGCATTCCGCCATGTGGGTTTCATTGTCAGGTTAACCTGCCTCTCTCTAGGCAACACCCCGGAAGATTTCTACATTCCAATTGCCACATTTCCAACATTGCCTTAGAATGCGGTGAATGGATATAAGCTGAAGTCTAAGGTCTCATTCTTGACCTAACGGCTCTTTCCAGCTAATCAACACAGGGATCCCTTACACAATGGAAATCAAGTGCAGACAAGTGTCTCTACTTCCTTTCTAAAACCTTGCCAAGTGGTTTGGGGAACAACAGATCCAAATTCACAAGGGCCAAGCCCAGACAGATGATACCAGCAGTGTCTGGAGAGACTGCTCATGCCTGAGAAACGCAGCAGGCAGCAAGTTAGCTCCTGCCCGAGACTCAGGAAACAGCAGGCAGTTGAGGACGAGGCTGAAATGTCATGGGAAGGCCCTCTAGGAAGCAAGAGAGGGCTACTTTTTTTTTTTTTTTTAGGAAACCAGGACTTAAGACATCAGGGACATTAGGACAGAAGAGGCTACATAAGCTTAAGCAGAAGCTCCAGCTGGGTAGAGGGGGAAGCCCCACATATACAGACACCAGGATCTCCCAGTTAAAGGGTATCGTGTGCCCCAGCTAACAACCCCAGGGCTTTTCACGCACTATGAACTGAACCTCTGAAGCTATGAGACAAAAGAAATCCTCCCTGCTTTGAGTTGCTTGTCACAGGTATTTTTCCAGAGAAATGAAAAGCTGGCTAACCCAGACACCTTAGAAATATACAGGGGAGATATATATATATATGTGTGTGTGTATATATATATACATATATATACATATCTCCCCTGTATATATATATGGTTCTCGTGTTAAAGATGTGACTTCATTTGTTCTTATTTATTCATTTATGATGAGACAGTGTTTCCAGGCTGAGCCAGACTTACACTTCCTATGTGGATGGATGACCTTGAACTGATTCTCCTAATCCTCTCAAGTACTAGGATTGCAGGGGTGATGTACCACTGTGCCTTGCTTAGACCTCCCTAGGAATCAAACCCAGGGCCTAGTGCGTGTCTCACACTGCTCTGACCAAACGAGTTATACTCCCAACTTCTAAAGGTACGATTTTGCTTTTTTTTTTTTTTTTGAGACAGGGTTTCTCTATGTAGCTTTGACTCTCCTGGATCTCACTCTGTAGACCAAGCCGGACTCAAAAATTGTGTGCCGCTACCTCCTGGCTTAAAGGTGTGATTTTAAAAGCCCCAAGGTTGAGGCTGGAGAGATGGCTCGGGAGTTGATAGCATGTGATGCTCTTGCAGAAGACCTGGGGTTCAGTTCCACGCACCCACACAACAGCTCACAACCATCTGGAATTCCAGATGGTTCAACACTCTCTTCTGCCCTCCACAGGCACTGCACACACTCCTGGCGCACAGAAAATACTTGTGGGCAAAACACTCATGCATGCTTTCAAGTATTCTTAATCAAGGGGCATATGAAGTGACTCAGACAGGGTGCACACCACCAAGCCTAAAGGACCGAGTTTAATTTCCAGGACACACACGGTAGAGGAGAACTCCCTCATGCTGTCCTGGATGTACAGGTGGCCTTGCTATTCTAGCTCACCAGAAAAGCTGGCGTTTCACACGGGTCCTCTCTAGAAGGCAAGGAGTGGACTTAATGACTGTAAGATGTATTTGGAGGGCTGGCCTTCGGGCAGGTTCTGCTGTGCTGACTTGTGGACTTGGAACACGGAGTCAGAGCAGAAGCCTCCGAGACTCAGAATGTGTGCTCCCCGGGTGAGCATCACAGCCGAGAGGATGTAGTATCTATCATGGCTGGTGCACGGCAGGGGCGGAGACACCACAACACCCCGAGAGTCAGGCTAGAGAGTACAAAAAAAGGAAGACCTTGGTCCAGGAGAACTTATGGGCATTTCCAAGTGGTAGTTTGGGGGCACAAAATGGGGTAAGCTTGGGTGTGTCCTGAAAACATGCGAGGAAGGGGAGAGTGGAACAAATCAGAGAGAGAAAGAGAATATTAATTAATTTAAAAATTTCAGAGTCTAATCAACGCCTGCTGCCTTTGGCCTACACGTTCCCATGGATTCTGGCCCAGGTGCCCTCACCACCCTCCCAGGGACAGCCCATTTGCCCTCTTCAGCTGTTTTAAGCCCTTCCTACGGATGAATTTCTTCATGCCAGCCTCAGGGAAACGGAAACTCCACAGCTGCAATGCCCTGCCCTGCTCTGCCCTGCCCAGGAAGGCACAACAAACGCCCCATGCTGCAAGCATTCCTCCAGGAAGCAACTGTGTCCTGGAAGCTGCAACACGGCGGGATGGGGACCACACCCTCTCTGTGCCCATACCCGTTTCTTTTTTTCCCTTCTACATCAGGGTTCATGGTTTTAGAATTCTTTCTCGGGATCTTCCATTGATTTACTCATTTTTCACTCACCCAATAAGCACCCCCCCACACCAAGTCCTGGCCTCTCTATACAGATAGTAGGTTCGACTTCACTGGTATGAGATACCAGTATCTCCCTGGGCTGTAGACCTCCTTGGTGGGAGGTGGGAGGCTACCGTTCCCAGCCTGCAGGGGTCCCAGAGGAGTTCTGGGTGCACAGCAGAGTATCTGCTCACTCCGAGGTGCCCGTTCATGTCAACCCCAGCACCCAGGGCTCTAAAGCAGCCTCTCCACCTGGCCCTCCCCTCCCCTCGCATGTTTTCGGGTCACACCCAAGCTCACCACACTCTGTACCCTAAAACTACCACTTGGAAATGTCTATAGTTTTCCTGGCCCGAGGTCTTCCTTTTTGTACTCTCTGGCCTGACTCTCGGGGTGTGATGGTTGTGATGCTCACCCAGGGAGCACACATTCTGAGTCCCGGGGGGTTCTGCTCTGACTCCATGCCCCAAGTGCACAGTAGAGCCTGCCTGAGGGCCAGCCCTCCAATAACCATCTTACAACCATTAAGTTCACTCCTTGACTTTTACAGATGACCCCTGAGAAATGATGCCTGAGAAAGAGGCATGCCATCTTTTCTGGTGAGCTAGAGCGGCAAGCCCACTCCGGTGCAGTGGGATCCCTGTCACAGGTACACTTTGTCTTGTCTTACTTTCACGGTTTGACTCAATACCTACTGCTTACACATTTCATAGGCAGAATGCAACAAAATATATTCATTTTAATTTGGCTAGAAGATAGGATATTTTGTAAAGCATAGAGCCAAGAAATTTCTCTGACTGGTGGTGACAGGTGGAGCCCCTGAGTTCTGGGACTTGGGGGCTCCATCTTTGGAAAGCTGTTGTTCCTCTGACGACCACAAGAGGAAGACATGCTCACCTGTTGGCTGGAGAGCCGAGAGTGCCCTCCACTCAAGGACTTCCTTCTCCTGACTGGGATGGACCCACAAAAAACAACTGGACTGTGACCCGGATTCATGGAGGAAAAGACTAGTGACTCATGACGGCCACACAAGACCAGTCTGGTCTACACAGCAAGTTCCAAGACAGCCAGGCCACACAGATAAACCCTGTCTCAAAAAAGAAAGAGAGAGGAAAGAGAGAGAGAGAGAGAGAGAGAGAGAGAGAGAGAGAGAGAGAGAGAGAAAACGCGCAAAGGTCCTGACTGCCCTCAGTTTAAAAAAGGCCACCATATGTTTAGTGAGCTTATGCTAATGGAAACTGGCCTATGTATAGTTTTTCCATTCTGTACTTTGAGACCATCACAGCCTATCTTGTCTAATCCTCTGTTATTGCAAAAGCGGAAGCTCATGTGACTTCCTTAAGGTCACACAACAAGCCGGTTGGGAAAGTCAGAAGCACATGCTCCCGGTCCCTGTCAGGCCTTCCTGAAGGCTCCTGTCAGGTTAAATCAGTCTCTCAGCCAAGCGCAAATTTCTTATCAGACCCTGATTGTCCCCTTTCTGGTTTTCCTTTGCGCAGATCAAGTTACTCAGCATGGTATGAAGACATTCAATAATGATGGAGAGACAGTCCCTACTGCTGGGAAAACAAATAAAACCAAATTTGACTCCACAAGCCAGGGGGAAGTTGAGTAAAATGTACCCAGGGGGTAGACAGAATATAATTCACCCACAACATACACAGGCTTCGTTTACTCTGGGACCGTGTCTTGATAAAACTATCATTGCCCAAAAATATGTGAAAAACTCGTGAATACATTAATAATAAACATGTAATCTATAATTATTATCCATTGCATAATCCTAACTTAGTGAACAGTGTAGCTTACTCTGCATTACCTTAAATATGCTCAAAGCACTTATATTAGCCTGCAGTTGGCAAAATCTTCTAACACAGCCTTTTTATAACAAAATACTGAATATCTCCTGTGGAGTGGAACACAGAAAGGCTGTGAGGTTATACTTTCACATGGAGGTAAAATTCTAAGTCAAGCGGAGCCATCTGTACATGTCAGAAGTGATTCAGGACACCATGTCGCCCCTGGGAGTACCTGGGAACTCAAGCAGCCCTCTAGTCTCAGAACTATACAGTGAGGAATTTTGTATTAGTTATTCTATTGCCATTCACTGAGTCAATATTTGGACTCCAAATCTTACATACTTGTCAGAAGTCTCAGTCACAGGGGGACACAGCACCCAGACCACAGACTACATTTCACTAGAGCCCCCCAGCAGTCCTTGGTGAAGGAGAGAAAGACGACATTGTTCAACGATCCTCAAGTCAGGAAACCGCTCTGAGACATAGCGTGGACTTTGAATGATTCTCTCACTAGAAAAGTAAGTTA